GAGGCTCCTGGTACACTGTCTAAAGCAGCGCTGGCTCAAGCTTTTTGGCTGGTGGACTGGATTGAGTGCCCAGGCCATCCACAGGCCAGATCTGGCTGGTGGATCCCAATCCAGCACGAAGCAGTTGCAGCAGGGCCATATCCAGCTGTGCAGAGGACGGCAGGGAGCACTCTAACCAGACCATGTGGTCAGGAAGAGTCAAAGGGGGGGTGGGGGAGAGCCAGCCCTAACCCAGCGCCATGAAGAAAGGAGGCTTGACCCAGCCTCAGAGGGAAGGAGGGGAGGGGAAGGAGGCCTAAACTGGCTCCAACCCATCCCCAAGGTGGAAAGGGGGCATGGCTCAGCTCCATTCAGCCACAGGCGTGGGAGAAGGAGATGTGACCTGGCCATAACCTGGTGCACAGGGTTCGGGGTTTGGGAATTTGGCAGGGAGGAAAGGTGGCCATATTAATTGCCACCACTTCCCCCGCCACCAAATTTCCCAAACTGTGGGAAGACTCGTGTGTTGTATACTTATAGCTCCATGGGCTACGTTTGGCCCAGGGGACGAAGACTGAGCACCCCTAGTCCCAAGCATTAAAGGTGTTTGGAGTACTTCATATGGAATGTCTATCCATGGCCTAACTAAACACCAGACTCAGATTAGAGCAGGGTCAGCAACCTTTTGCAGGCTTGGAGCAGAGTTTGCAGCCAGCCTTGGCTACAGACCAGAAGTCTCTGCCCCTACTCCTTCCAAGCAGCCAGCTGCCAGATATCCACCCCCTCTGAAGCAAGGATGAGATCAGATGCTGCAAAGAGGAGTGTGCAGGGGATGGGCAGAAGGCCTGTGCGAAGCAGCTAGTATTCACTTCAGATCTGAATTTGGCCGAGTCGATGGACAGCAATTCAATTCAGTGATTTGAATCACTGTCCTGAATCGATTCGGCCACTGCTGAAGCTGCTGAATCCCCAACTCAAATAGGTCCCATCCTCTACCCGCTCTTCCAGCCCCCCATAGCTGCCCCGCCCGGCCCCAGCATCGCTGTTCTTTAAAAAATAAAAAACCCTGCACTCACTGGCTGCTGCCAGATGGGGGGCGGGAGTGATCCCCGCTGCAGCCTGCTGCCCCATGCTGTGTGGGGGGGCTCTGCCACAAGCCCCTCGAAGCCCCGACAGCTGCAGTAGCAGCTGGTGAGTGTAGGGTGCTTTTCTTTTTTCTTTTTTTTTTTAAAAGGGCCAGGAGCCAGGCAGGGCAGTCATGGCGGG